GACCATAGGCCTGGGTGCGGTACCTTTGACTCTACAGTTGTCTTTGACTGTTGAATTTCCCTTGTGCTGCGTTTGGTCACACAGCCTCCTCGACACACTCAGGCTGGGCATGTCTCGATCACATAGCCCAGCACAGACAACTGAGTCTGTGTCTTACCGGGGGCAAAGTTCTTAGCCCCGGTCTGCTGCTGAACAGGGTTACTGCAACTTCTTCTGTTATTGCTTAATCTCCAGCTCTGGACTGTTACCCCTGAGCTAGTAGGGTCTGGCCCTATGACCTTCCAAAAAATCCTTTCGTCCATTGCGGACTGTAGCCAGACCCCCAGGCCGAATTCTGCATCCTCTTGGAGAGACATCAGCCAACTCGGCGGTGCCGCATCCTTCACCTTCTGGAAATTGACCTCCAGGTTCCGCATCCTGGGGAGCTTTGCTCTGAGTTGTTGTACTGTTATCCATGTTCCCTGCTCATAGTCCCACAGATCTCTAACTTGGACTATTCCTTTCTCCACCCAGGCTCTTCCAAACGAGCCCGGGCTCCCATCCGCCAGCAGAGGGGCTCCCCCCACAGGTTTAATATTATCGTTTTCAAACAAGACGTGGTTTAAAATTCCCTTTTTTGAGGACGGCTCCCCTATCGGCTGTGGCCTCAACTTGTTCCAAGCGTACATAATTTTTCTCCATACTCGAGACTTTGGATGTCTCTAACAGTAAGATTTTATCTGAAAGCACAGCCATACATGTTCCCCGTCTTGGAGATTCCATTCCATCAGAAGTATATATTCTGCCAACACGATCCATAACTTATTCTTTGGGCCGAACATCGCCATTACAAGCCATTTAGCCAGTAGGGCATGGTTCTGTTGTCGGGGATCCAAGATTCCCAACCCCCCCTGATTACGGTCGCAGATAATTGTCTCCCAGGCGACTTTTGTGATGTAGCCTTCGGTTTCCTGTGTCTGTGGTTTCCAAATGTATCGTGCTCCAATTCTCTTTATAGCTTTATATGCTTCGTCCCCCAACAGATGAACTGTAAGGGGGAACCACAATATTGAAAAAGTTGCCTGAGACAGGGCCAAAGCCCTTCCAAATATCGAGAGTCTGTAGTTTCTGGCCCATCCCAGCACCATGCCAACAACTTTGTCTTTTAAAAGGGTGTCTTGGGCGTAGACCAGTCCGAAAGAGAGACTTGAACTCCCAAAAACCTTTCTGAATTGCTGACAGGGATCTGTCTGAGACCCCAGTCAACACTAATCGTGTATAAAGGTGGGAGGATATACGCAGACTTGTCCCAATTGATTGAAGCTTCTGAGAGAGCACAATATTCATCCAATACTCTTTTCAACTCTACAAAGGACTCCGTAGTGTTAGCACAGGCCACTGTGAGGTCGTCTGCAATAGCTCCTCCCTTCCAATGTACGTTGGAGGGGAGTTGCAGCCCCTCTATCCTATTATTAGTCCTTATATTGTGTAATAATACTTCTAACTGAATAACAAACAGCAGAGGGGCCAGGGGGCATCCCTGACGGAGAGATCTTATCAACGGAAACTCCTGGGACTGCCTGCCATTCACCATGACCACCGATGTTGCCTCCACATACATTGCTTTGACCCAGTTACAAAATCCATCTCCAAACCCCATCCTAGACAAGGTAGTGAAGACGAATGCCCACCCTACCTTATCATATGCCTTTTCCATATCCAGCATCAGAACCGTGACTTCCCTCTTTTCCCTACCAATAATTTCTAATGCTTGGATAGTTGACATTATATTCTCAAAGATAGTTCTCCCTTTAACGAAAGCGCCTTGTTCCCAGCCGATGAGTTGAGCAGGTAATCTGCCAATCTGAGAGCTAAAGCCTTGGCCAGGATCTTATATGATTCATTAAGCACAGAGATTGGTCTATAGTGCTTCACCTCCTTCTTATTCCCCTTCTTGTAGACGAGGGATATCGCCTCTTTAAGCCATCCCTTAGGTAGGGAGCCTGTTGTCAAGGATCTATTGAAGATTTGGACAAAGAACGGGCCAAAGGCATCCCACGTACACACGAACAACTCTACTGGTAGCCCATCTAACCCCGGACACTTTCCCTTTGCCATTTTTTTTGCTGCCTCCAACAACTCTTGTGAGGTGAAGGGGCGGTCTAGGCTAGTTTTGGCTGAGGTCGGCAGGATCGTTTGTATGGAGTCCCAAAACGGGGATGACACTGAAAGATCTAAGTCTACTGTGTTCTCCCCAAAAATCTGGTCGTGACAATATCAGCAAAATAACCTCTTGCATATAGGCACATGTCCTCCACATCCGTTGCAATGGGGGCATTTGGATCCATGGGATGTGACAGCTCCCTAATTACAGGTCTGGACTGTCGCAGTATGAGGGACCTGAAAGTGATCTTTGTCATCCTGTCTTACCCAATCAAGCCCCTGATTTTTAACCATTCAAGCCATTCTCTCTGCCTCGTGGACTCTAAATCCTCCAGCAAGGTCAGATTTCGTTTCCTTTGTTGCGCCCAGTAGTAGTCAGAAAAGGGGTCCTTCCCCATTTTCCTTTCCACCTCTTCAACTTCCCTCTGGACCTTTTTTCCTTCCAAGATCTGTTTGCGGCCTTCATTCGAGAGAAGGTGCTTAAGGCTGATGTTATAATTCCGAGTCCCACCTCTGCCCAGTCCTGTTCTTGGAGAAACAGTTTTTTCGCAGCTAGCCAGGCAGTCATCTAAGCCCTTACCCAGTCCGGAATGCCTTTGTCTTTTGGTATGTTAACATTCAGTCTAAACGGAGGGCGGGCCCTTTCGAAATGTTCTCTGGCTGCTACGTCCATACAGACTGGGTAGTGGTCTGACAGGTGTGAAACTATCAGATCGCACCATAAGCACCTGTCCCAAATCACACCCCTGGCCAGGAAAAAATCCAATCTTTTTCTTGGTTGGGGGATGTGTGGAGCGGGTTGTGGGCCATACCAGGTAAACCCCCCATCATCCGGGTTTAAGATTCTGAACACGTCTGTCAGATTTTGCGATTCCAGTAGTGCTGCCAACATCATATTATCCGACCTCAGGGGTTTTGCGCTCAGAGAATCCAAACCCGGGTTGAGGACTGTGTTCCAGTTGCCTGCTACCACCAGGTTCTCCACGTCAGGTACCCATGCTGGTAGTAAAGCAAAAAATTCGGTACGTTCCTTATAGTCCACTGGCGCGTATATGGTCATTACCGCCCAGTCCTCCTCCTCTACCGCAAACTTTACCCAAACACAGCGGCCCCTTGGATCTGCGAAAAAATTGATAATCTCTGTCTCTAAATCTTTACTAAATAAGATGGCTACCCCACCCTTTGTGCCGTCTGCCGGGACCCAAAACTGGGGCCCCTGGCACCAGCCTCTAAACTCCTCTATTCTTCCCGTGTCCAACTTGGTTTCCTGTAGGCAGGTGATGTGTACCTCCTTTGAGTGAGTCCATTCTGACAATCTGTTTTTCTTATCTCTGTCGGTAGTGTCTCCAAGTCCCCTGATGTTCCAACAAGCAAGACGGATTCTACTGGGCAGGACCATTTTCATGGTTTGTGCCGCCTGGATATTGGATGCGGGAGGTAGTCGGCAGTGCTGCAGGCCCCTATTCCACCGTATAGACCTTGGCCTGCAGCTGCCTGAGGAAGCTGTCCGAGAGGATAAACCCCTGTTGCTCTGTTAGTCGGAACCAATTCACTAGGTGTTGTGCGTTCAGGGAGGATCCTATCCGGATATCCGCCACAGAGCTGGGATCCGCCATCAGGAGGGATGACAACGAGTACCAGTGGGCGTTTAAGTCTGTCCACTGTTCCTTTGACCCCTGAATAGACTCCAGTCCCAGAAAGGCTATATGGAGTACTATTTTCCCTTTGTCGTTTCCGTCTACTACATGGCGCCCCATCTTCGGTTCATGCAGAATGGTTATAGTCCCCATCCCTCTCAATATAGCAGTCTGTGTAAACTCTATGATTTGAGTCTCAAGGGGTTGGGTCTGTACTTGATAGGTGGGGATCTCCAGGGCTTCATCCGGAGTCATCCGCATTAGCATCCTGGTTCCTTCCTGAGTCGGTGCACATATGACTGGAATAAACAGTTCCACTGTTTTTTTTTCCACTCTGTCTTTCCATGCCAGCGTTTTCATTTGGGCCGCAAAGCTAAGTTCCACGTTCTTTTTTACAGAGCGGGACTCTGTTGTGCGTTTCCCTCTTGTGTCCTCTCTTAGCTCTCCCTCCCTTTCCTTTTCAGGATGTGGAATGTCTTCAGCTGGGAAGTGCATTGTGGGTGCGGCTGAAGCATCGTTCAGCTTTGACCTCTTTGAGGGGATCAACAAAGGGGTGGGAGGTTTTTCCTGGGATCGACCTCCCCTTTTCCCCTTCGTTTTTTTATCCTTTTTTTGAATCTTCGTCTCTTCCCCTATATGCTGTTTCCTTGCCTTGAACTTGATGGTGTTTTCGTCAGATGGCACTCGGAGGTCCTCTTCCTCTATTTCCTCCTCACCCTCCTTAGTCTGAGGACTTTCCGTCCCTTTGTCAACGGGCGAAAGATCTTTCTGACTATTCGAGGGTTTGGGGCGCGGTGGGGAAGGAGTTACCTGTTTATCCAGGCCAAAGCCCAGGTCCGCCTGGGCTATCTTATCTTTGAAAGTCTCTAGGGGGTCTAAGGGGGGGGGGGGGGGGGCTCCTTTTCACTTTCCTTATCCACCTGCATCATCTCTTTCTCCTGTAATTTTCCCTCATCCTGATTCCCCTCTCCCTCCCGCTCTCTTTCCTTCTGGCTTCCCTCTGTCCTCTTTGGATCCTTCTCCCCGTCCCCTTTGGCCCCTGCTGCTTGTTGATCTCCTTTTTTCCCCTTCCCATCTCCCGTCGCTGCCTCTTTTCGCGACCTCCCTTTAACTCTCCATCTTGCCCGCCGGGTCCCTCTTTCTTTCAATTGCTTTGATCTTTTCCCTTTTCCCTGGCTGTCGTCTTCTTTCTGTTTGGAGAATTGGTCCTTTTCTCTCTTCTCCCCATCCTCCCTCTCCTCCTTCTCCCTTTCTCCCACCTTTGCCTTCCCCTCATCTTTCCCTTTATCCTTCTCCTGCAGAACAGCGTCTTTGTAAGTATCTTTCTGTGATACTGCCGTCCCCATTCGTACGTTTGCCGCACAATTGGGGTCTGACTCGTCGTGAAAGTAGCTGCGGCAATTTTTGCACCAAAGTGAGTCGGCACCTGCGACTTCCAAATCCACGTATCCATCGTTTCCCAGTTCTATTATCATGTTCTGCTTGTAGTTCACCCTTGCGGAGGGAACTAAATCGAACCTGATTGTCCATAGATCCGGGGCAATGGGGTCACCAAACACAGGGGCAGTTTTCAAGATCTTACCAAATGCTTTATAAACTGCTCCTTTAACGTGGGGCAAAACTGAAATTGGCACATGGAGCACTCTGACCCAGAAGTACTTGTACTTCAGGGATTCATTCCACTCATAGATCTCCTGCTCTGTCATCCACGGTTTAAAAGTAACCGTGTATGTCTTTTTGTCCATCTGAATTTTTTTGTGCCCCTTACGTAACATAAAATTTGCAATAGCCGACGCACTAGCAACGTATGTAACGAGGTTTTTCCCCTCGTTTCTGAAGATTCCTCGCTTGGGGCCAACATTTAGTTCCCCCGATTTTGCCCAACCGTCCTCGTAAATCCTTACCAGTCTGTTTTTTAACTCCTACCGGTAGGGACGTAGAGTCATCTCCAAAGTGAATTGTTACTGCGTGCTTTCTCAACCATATCGTTTGGATTTCATACACTTCCTCGTTTACCACCACCCGCACAAAATCCTTTCCTGTCTCTACAACCCTCGGTGCATACTCATCTGGGAGTATTCCTTGAGAATAGCAGTCATCCAAAATTTCCCACACCCTTTTCCTTTCTTCTGGTGACATCCCTGCCGTCTGAGCGGAGCTAGAGGCCGCCATCCTCTCCCCTAAGCAACAAAGCAGCAGAATAACCAAAAGAAAACTACACAATAAATTTCTACTTCGTCCTATCATGGACAGATCCACTATTGTTCAGTTCGTCTTGTATCAATGCAACCTCTCATCCGCAAGACTGAGTCGTGAAATAAGGAGGGGGATGGCCGTGGGGCGACGTTAGCCCGAAGGTGTACCTTTCGATGTTCGAGGCATATGAGAGTTTACCATCTGGTGTCGAGGAGGCTTCCTTCAACGAAGGTCTCCCTCTTACCCCAAGACGGAATATCCCGCTCCTCGTGCTCGATTCTACCACTCCTAGCTCCCGGAGTTGTCGCCCAAGGTATGCCGATCATTGCAGAACCAGGCTTCGTTGATGGATAGCCTCAGAAACGCCTCCGCTCCTCCTCTTCGGGTTGACTGGGTCAACCTCCCCCATACCTTCTGAACCACGTCCAGAAAACCAGATACGTTCTTTCGGGGTGTCTGGAAATTGACGAAAGAGACAACCCACTCCGTCTTCCCTGTGCGGAGGCTAGCCGGTCCGTGCCTTGCAGCACGGACCGGTTTCTTCCCGCGGCCCTTCCTCCCCCGCCGCCAGCGTTAGCGCATCGCCCCCAGCCTCGTCCTCATTCCCCTTTTCCTTTTGTTTGCTGTGTTTGCCTGAAATGTGTTTTAGAAAACTCATTTTCAAGAGTTCCTGCATGGGCACACAGCCTTTTTTTTTTCTTTTCTTTTTTTTTTTTTCTTTTTTCAAAAGATATGTTCTTCTCTCAATTTCACCTCACACTACCTACCTACCACTACTCCTAATTGTAGGCATAGGGGGAACCCCATAGCAGCCAGAACCATGTTCACGAGAGAACATGCGGGGGCTGCTCCCGACCTGCAGGTGGGCGATACCGGCTAGGGGACAGCCGGTAGCATCAGGGACCATGCCAACAGGAATCTGCGAGCGCTGTAGTGGCAGATAATTCACAGGTGTCTACCCACCCCTGACTGGATAGTGTCAAGGACAAAATTGGAAGAGCGGGGACTACTATCCCCGCTCTGCACCTACTGCGGAGGGACTACCCCCAGGAGGAGAGCCACGCTTGAACACTGTCTGCTGGAATGCACCATGGTGGCCCAGCTATGGCAATGGTGGGATGCAGCGTGGAATTACCTTACGGGCAGACACCTGCCGTGGGACCTTCAAACCATCTTGCTGGAGGAAAAACCCCCACAAGCGGCAGCGTGGACGCCCTTCAGCCTCAACTTGCTGGAGGTAACACGCCTCCCATTGTTAATGGCTTCCTGGCGAATGAGATGTGCACATGAGCACAGACAACAAACATATGGATATATGGAGGCTCRAACTTCGATAATTGAGACAATCACTGTAAATACCCATGCAGCCTGGCAGCAACTTAAAGAAATGCTCCACAAAGAACTAGACTTAACCAAAAGGAATGAACTTTCTGACAACTTTCGGATGGTTTGGGTAGACGGTGCAGAGAGACTTTGTGAGCTTGATCAACTCAACCAGCTGTGGTGGAAGCAGTGGTCGGCCACAGAACCGCAATGGGAGCGGCTACCCAGAAACCATTTCCAGTTCCCGTACCGACCGACCAACTTCACCCTGCTCTCTGGCTAAAACCACTATAGCTGACCCCCCTCCCCCCTCCCTCCCCCCAGTGCTACCCCCTTGTGCCAAACTGCCCCCTCCCCCCCCTCCTCCCCCTCCCCCCTCACATGGCACCCTTGCTCCGCCCCCCCTCTTGCCCACCCCTGCTCCCCTTTCTCAAAGCCGGGCAGACAGAATCCTCCCCAGGCCAGAATGTACCACAAGGAATCACTCCCTGATCATAGAAGATGGAGCCGCAGTCCGCAGCTGAACACTGAGGACAGCAGGGCTGGACATTTGCATGCCGCACTTCAACGATGGGACGACTACAAGAAGACTAGCTGGGATCCCGCTAATATGTGGAAGGAACAGGATGGGAGAATCAAAAGCTACCTATGAAGACACAGTGGTCAAATGCTGGGATAACACGGACTCGACAAGGACTCAGCAAGATTAGATTTAACAAGGAGATGGGTAGAATGGAGAATCAAAAGCTTCCTATGAAGACACAGTGGTCAAATGCTGGGACAACACGGACTCGACAAGGACTCACCAAGTTTAGCATTAACAAGGAGATGGGTAGAATGGGAGAATCAAACGCTACCAATCACGACACAGTGGTCATCGAACTCCCCACAGAATGGTCCTGCAAAACTCACACTCATTGTATAAGAGTAATTGGGTTACTCAAATCACATGGAAATCTATAGAATGTAAGGAATAACACAGGACTGGGACCTCACGGAATCACTAAGGTCTCAGCAAGATTGCCCTCCTCCCCATAGACTCATAGTTGCTTTATACATTACTTGGTTTGCTTGGTTCACAGGGATGATTACAGATTATACTACATTACACAATGCTGGGATGCTGATTACCATTAACAGGGAGCTGGGTAGCTTACCGCCCACCTCCCCATAGACACATTGTTGCAGCATAGACCACAAGGTTCACTCGATTCACAGGGATGACTACAGAATGTATTACATTGTACAATGCTGGGACGCTGGACCCGATTTCCAGAAGGT